AGACACAGGACTGCAGAGGCGAGGGCAGTGGGGTACACGTGGTGGCGGGGGGGGGAGGCGGCGGGCACGCTACCTCCCGTCTGCAGTGCCCTCTGACCATGCCGCCTTGCCAGCCAAGTCTGGACCACAGCTGTTTAAACATCGCCTCCTCAGAGATGTGTCCCTTCAGATGACACTGGGTCTGTCATTTGCTCTCAGTGTACACCATGCTTTTCCTTCACAGTGCTTATGCTGAATCCCCAGTCCCTGCCCGGGGACAAGCTGGGTGTGGAAACCACCATTCCCTCTCAGACATTTTCTATCACAGCTGGGGATCAGGCTGTAAGGAAGGAAGGGACACTAGGCTAGGGAATCTGCCACGTGTGTGGGGGACGGCGAGAGATAAATGACTGAGAAGGAACTGTACGACAGAAATGGTCCCGTTTTAAAGACGGGCCTCTCTGTGCCTTTGGGCGAGTTACTTAACTTCCCCAAGTCCAGGTCCGGCATCTGTTTGATTGTGACACGGACCGTCCATGTCTGGAGGTCCTGCCAAGGAGGCTCACACGAGGGCGTTCGTGCCGCACGCCCCGCCCTTCGATCCGAGTGTGCCCAGCTCCACTGATACCAGGGATGACACTCAAATGCCTGAAAACCTCACCCAAAACGCTCAAAAGTTAACAGCATTTTTAACCGGCTAACGCAAGTTTTCCTGGCAAGTAGCAGGACATAAATAAGCCCTTAGCTGGACAAGGTTTAGAGTTATAAGATCCATAAAAATCTCTGAAAACCCATTTAAAAGTGTTTAAGCTTTAAGGTGTATCCTCTGGCCTAGTGCAGTCATGATTCTACAACTCGCAGGACTTCCCCATCTTTCCTGCATCGGTATGCAGAGGGTCACACTGCGGGGTCCCCAAGGCAGGCTCACACAGAGGGTCCCCGTGCTATGAGGAGCACACTGTCATCAGAGGTGTAACTTGCTCCTTCCCCTGGGCCCGGTCAAAATGACTACACGTGTTTCAACGAACTTATTAGACACTGCAGACCAGTTGGCCCGTTTTTAAAATGCCCATTTCCAACACATAAGCACATGGAAGAAGGCAACATACGTTCACTCAGGTCCACCTCCATCTTGTCCTCCGTGCTGGCGCTACTGGATTCAAACAAGTCTTGTTTCGCTCCGTCTTCTTCCTCGGAGTCTGTACTTTCCTCACTGTCCGTACTCCCCGAGCTAAGAAAAAAGGGGACCAAAATATTTAATGCTGCATCTCAGGCACTAGCTAAATCCACAAAATCCTAAAGTTCATCCGACAACAAAAAAATCACATCACGCTTCAACTGGCTCAGATCCGCCCAACTGTCACTTTGTTAGGTCTCTGTTCCGGGTGTGTTGCCTGATCCTGCCCTAAGCCACCAGGGCTCCGCCACTTGGGCATGGCTTTGAGATGTAGGTCACAACAACTAGAAAGTGCCTTCTGACAGGTGTGTGGAGGCACCTGGCTGCGCTGTTAACTGCATTTCCCCAGTGACGGCGGCGGCTGGGCTTCTTTGGGCTCATTTGCCACTCGCCTATCTTCTTTCTGAAGTCTTTCCACATCTTTAGTGCACTTAAAAAATGGGTTATTGTCTTTTTCTTGTGAGGGCTGTGAGAGTCCTTTACATCCTCTCGTAGAAGCCCTTGATCAGACCTACGGCTTGCAAATGTTTTCTTGTAGCGTATGCCTTGGACTTTCATTTTCTTAATAGTGTCTTTTGAAGAGCAGTGTTTAATTTTGATAAATTCAAGCGTAATGACATTTTCCTTCTACGTATATAATTTTGGATATTGCATCTTAGAAATCCTTTCCTAATTCAAGGTCACAAAGATTTTCTAGTTTAAGTTTCATAGTTTTACATGTAGGTCTATGAGCTACTTTGAGTTCACGTGTACACATGCTAAGAGGTACGAACCGAGTTCATCTTTTTGCATACAGATGTCAGATTGTTTAGTACCATTTGTTTGAGAGCCTATCCTTTCTCACTGAATTGCCTTAGCAACTCTACCGGAAACCCAGGTGTCCACACACCTGTGCACGGAGGTCCTGTTCCTCACTCTGGTCTCTGCCTTAATTACTGTGTCTTGAAATCAGGTAGTGCTGGGCCTCCGATTCTGCTTCATGAAAGTCGTTTTGGCTATTCTCGGTCCTATGCATTTTCATATGAATTTAAGAATCGACTTGTCAATAGCTACCAAAAAACTTGTTACGATTCTGTTTGGGATCGCAGTGAATCTAGACCAATCTGGGGAGAATTGGCATCTTGACAAATATTGAGCCTTCCGATTCATAAACATTTATCAAGTCTTGGTTTCGCTCAGCTGTTCTGTAATTTTCAGCGTACGGGTCTTGCACATCCTTTGTCAGATTTATCCCTACACATGTAATATTTTGATGCTACTATGAATAGTATTGCTTAGTAATTTCAATTCTAATTATTTGTTGCAGTACACAGAAACAATTCTATTCGTCTTGTATCATGTAATCTCGCTCAGCCCACTTAATTGTTCCAGCAGTCTTGTAGATTCCAATACATTTTCTACATTGACAGTCATGCCGTCTATGAATACAGACAGTTTTACTTTTTCTTTTCCAATCCAGATACTTTTTATTTTTCCTGGCTAGAACCTCCAGCACAATACTGAGAAGCAATGGTGAGAAGAGATATCCTTGCCTTGCTCTTGATCTTAAGGGAAAAATCACTGAGTCTTTTACCACTAAGTATGATGCTAATGGTAGGTTTACTGGAGAAGCTTTAATCAGGTGGAAGAAATTCCCTTCTAGCTCCAGTTTGCTGAGAATTCTATCAGGAACAGATGTGCATTCAGCCACGTGGTTACTGATTTTCAAATGCTAAACCAATTCTGTATTCCCAGAATAAATCTTGCTTTGTCATGCTATATTACTATTGCATTTATTTGTTAAAATTTTTTAAGGAGTTTTTGCATTTACATTCATGAGAGTTAACTGGTCGATGTTCTTGTAATGTCAGCTTTCAGGGTACACTGATGTGGCCTCAGAGAATCAGATGGGTACTATGCCTTCCTTTTCAATTTTCTGGAAGTTCTGTTATAGAACTGGTATTATTTCTTCCTGGAATATTTCATAGAATTCAGCAGAGAGGCCATCTGGGCCTGGAGGTTTTTTGATGTACGTAGGCAATTTTAACCTAAAAATTCCAATTCTTTAATAGATACAGGACTAGTCATCGGGTAATCTTTTCTGCTTGAGCTCTGGTACTTTGTATCAACGATCATCTAAGTTGTCAGAATTACTGGCATGAAGCTGTTCACAATATTCCTTTATTCTCCTTTTACTTGGTACCTATAAAATCTATAGTGATATCGCCTCTCCTTCCTGATATTAGTGATTTATATCTTCCTTTTTTTGATCGTTCTGTCTAGTGATCTATCAATTTCATTAATCTCAAAGAACAACTTTTGATTACAGTAATTTTCTCTACTGTTTTCCTTTTGCATTCTAGTTTCTTAAGGTGGAAGCTGAGGTCATGGATGAGATTTATTTTTTTTTAAATAAGCAGTTAGTGCTAAAAATGATCCTTCAAGTGTTTTCAGCTGCACCCTCTAAATTCTGATGCTTTGTTTTCATTTTCTTTCAATTTAAAACAATTTAACTCGTGCTAGTGTCCACATATTTGGAGATTTTCCAGAGATCTTTCTGTTAACTTATTTTTAACTTAATTCCGCTGGAGTCAGAGAACATACTGTGTCTTAAAACCTTGGAGTTTACAGAGACATGCTTGATGGCCCAAACATAGTCTCACTTAACGTCATGTAACTTGAAAAGAAGGTGTATCTTGCTACCGTTGGGTGGAGTGTTTCGTTAACATCCAGTTGGTCAAGGTGGCTGGTGCGCTGTTTAAGTGTTCTGTAACTTTACTGATTTCCACTTGTCGTTTTGTCAGTGACAGAGATGAGTGTAGAAACATCTGCCCACTTCTCTGCCCTTCTCAGTCCCTCCGTGTACCCCGAGCAGTCACCGGCACGCACACACAACTGTCGAGTCCTCTTCATGAGCGGAGCCCATGTGGCCTTCCCTTTAAACCCACACTAACCCAGGCCCTCTACCCTTTCTTCTGACCTGCTGAGATCTATATTTAAATCACTTTTTTCACAAGCAGAACTTAGATCTTATTTTTTATCCAACCTGACCACCTCTGTTCTAATTGGGTTTTTGAATCATCTGAATGATTACTGATGTGGTTGCTCAAGTTTCATACTCTCATCTTGCTATTAGTTTTCTGTTGTCTCAGCTGCTTTTTCTTTGCCTTAAATTTTTTGATTAATTTCCTTTGTTGGCTTACTCTTTTCGTTATTTAGTGGTTGTTTTAGGGTAAGCATACACCTTTAACCTATCACACTCTGATTTCAGATGGCATCACAGCCAAAAACTGGAAACAACAAGTGTTTATCAACAGGTAAACGAATAAACAAATTATAGTATATCCATTCAACAGACCCCTGCTCGACAAAAGAAAGGAATGAACGCTGATACGTCACGTGACACTGATGATTCTTAATCATTCTGAGTAAAAGAAGCTAGACAAAAAAGTATACGATATGTGACTTCATTTATACAAAACTGTGAAGGAACGGAGGCCGGCGGGGGGAAGGCGTCTCCAAAGCCCACGGAGGGACTTGTGGGTGGCGGGCATGTGGCTCCGTGGACGTACACGTCAGAACTGACCGCCTCATGTAATTTAAATAAATGCAGCTTACTCTGTCTCAATAGAGATGTTAAACAGTAAAAAGCCGCCTTCTCCCATCACACAGTGCTCCTGCTAGGTGTCAGCTGTCATGCTGTCACCTCCAGGACACCGTCTTCCCTGCTGTGCCGAATGCTCTCTGCTGGCGCGGACCGCACTGCTGTATTAGTGTGTGAGGACGGCCTGCCCCAGAGACGAACGCCAGCAGGCCATGGCCATTTAGTGACTTCACTCAACACAAGGACCGAAATTTCACAGCAAATGGTGACAAACAAGTTTGACGGTCACTTTATATTAAAAAAGAAAAAATAATCGCCAAAAAGACATTTGTCTCTTGCTGCCCATTCCCAGAGCAACCAATATGCAGAAGGTGACAAAGGGGGAGTGAAAGACAGAAGCCGGGCTGAATGACAGTCACAGCGCTGGGCTGTGAGACAAACGTGCCTTCACTGGGCGAGCCACTGGCGGGTACGCTCTAAGCTAGGAGAGCGAAGCAGCCCTCGGAGGGACGGCACCCCTGCCTGGACCCGCGGAGAACGGGCGACGCTGGCCCACTCCGTCCAGCGAGAGGAGTGGCCGGCTGGGAAGAAGGGGGCGGAGGGAGCTTTACTTTGCCCCGACTGCTGTTTTCTTTGAATTGCATGCCACGTGGGAACATTATTTAAAATAAATGAAATAAAAATGAGAGTTTGGTGGTTGTTCTCGCAACGATGAAGATTCTGACAATGAACCCTCGGACGGCGAGAACCCAGTGTGCAGAAGCAAATCTGTTTAGGTTCTTGTCACAGAGAGACTTAAAAAAATGGAGGCGGTGGGGGGGTGGTGGGGAGAGGCTGGATTGATTTTGATGGGTATCCATTGACATGACTGTCTCCGAAGTTAGATAAACTTTCGGAAACCACTTTCCTCTCCCTGGGGAAACTTTCATACATAAGAACCAAAACAGCGCAGCGGCTGCTGTCGCTACCGGTAACGGAACACTGATCCGGAGCACTGCGCAACCACACTGCTCCGCCACATTTCCCACTCACGAGAGGCCGCGTTGCGTTTCCTGAGCTACGTCTCGATGCCTCCAGCAGTGCCAAGCAGAGCGCCCAGGGCCATCCGTTCTCCTGCCACACGGCAGACGGGGCACTGGCACCGACTCACGCCAGTTAGCCCGGGCATTTATGACCACAACAAAAGCTTCAGTCTCCGGGTCAAAGTCCTCCACGGGGGGAGGACACCATGCACCTCTCCTAGTAACCGCTTGCATGCGCACTGGGCGTGACTGCTGCGGTAACAAACCAGCCTTCACCTGGATCGCCTCTGCGATTCTGGCGCAAACGCGATGTGCTTTTCCTCCCAGATATCTTCCTCGTCAGAGCCGCCGTCATCGAACTGCTGTATCCTTTCCTTACAACATGCTTCAAACAAGGCAATGTTTCCCTGAATAAAAATGAGAGAGGGAGAAGACAAAAAAAATTTAAAAATCCAGTTATTTTCTCCAAAAGTTACCACTGGAAATCGCATTCTTCCATTTCCTTTAGAAGATGCTCCATCACACACGCCAAGATGAAACATGACCATCTAGTGTCAGCTTCTATGTGAGGGACAGCAAAAAGCTGCCCGATACGACCGAATTCAGAGCTAGCACACGGAGCCGAGACTGCTCCCGACGCACTTTCGTTTGGTAAAAGCACCATGTTGACTCCCCGAGCCTCTCTGCCCGCCCAGCTGTCCGAGCAGGAGCACCCTGCCTCCCGGCTTTCCCCAGTCCCACGGTGGCGAGGAGCGCCCATTGCCCTGCCCAGCACGCTCCACCAACCACGTCAGCCAGTAAAGCCACGGTCCCTCCTGCCCATCGGCACACGGATGCAGGCCGTGCCCGCTCCTGACGAGCGAGCGGCACTGGTCCAGCATCGCTCGGTGCAGCTGACGGGCGTTTCTAAACCGCCCGGTGGTGAGCGCTGGTCACCACCCAAGTGTCACTGATCGAGCTGATCGAGCCCAAGTGTCACTCCTGTTGACAGATGGCAGACCTGAGAGGCGGCAGGCCGGAGTCCCACTGCGCTCTGTGAAGCTCAGCTTCTACACCGCAATCCCAAGTGGCCCCGGTTCAATCGGTCCTGCCACATCTTACACCAGTGTGCAAGCGCCCGTGCCCGCAGGGGCAGGCAGCTCATGCGAGCGGAAGAAACCCCGCCTCAGAGGTTACCCAGAACACCCAGCACCCATGGCGGCCCCCACGCACCCAGCACCCACTTGTACGTCTCTCGTTGGCCTTGTTGCTCACAACAGGAAACACTAATACTTACACTTTCGTTTGTATTGAGAGTAAAGTTGATGTCTGAGACCCGATCGAAAGAAACACTGTGAACAAAAGTGTAGGAATAGTTATCTACAGACTCACAGAAACAGTGACATTTTGCAAATTTAAAATATTTACGCTATCGTTAAAATCTCTAAGTTAAAAAACAAAACCCTGCTTGCATTAAATAATACCTCCTCCCTTGGTATTAAGGAATGTGTATAAAATGGGAAGACTGGAATGGAAGCCTTTTCAGACACGATAGACACACCCTCAAAGACATCCTGTCTATAAAAGATTTTTCACGTCCATGGCAACAACCACGGCTCCATAAACAAGAAAAGGGTTATTCTCAAAGGAGACCAGTCAAAACGTGGAAGAGCACACTGAAAGCTGTCAGGCACCGAGCTTCCTCCAGGTCTAGCCAACGCACACATCAAATACAGACACCTCAAACCTTATGTTCTAATGTGGCCTAATCAGGAAGAAAGTAGGCAGTAAAAAATTTATAGCCTAATAAACAGAGTATCTGAGTAGGTGGGGCTAGCGTATCATTCTTAGAGACCTGTTCTAGTCAATCTTATCCCAAGTACCCATGCGAGTTTTAAAGATAGTGTGGCTTCCTAACTAGTGACATTTACTGAGAGTCCAAACAGGCAAGTGCTGAGATGCCACGTGGAGGGCCTGCGGGTGCCGGTGTGAGCAGCCCTGGGGGCCGTCCTTGCTCTCTCTGGATCTCAGTGAGCTGCTTCTCAGGGCTGCTGACACAGCCTTCGACCCCTGCTGTTGACAGTGCAGCCTGCGGTCCCGTGTGCCGGAAGTCGGTTAGCTTCTCCCACGCCTAAACTGCACCTGTGACACACAACAGCCACCATCGGCTGTAGCTCAACAAACTGTTGGAGGAACTATATAACAGGTACCGGATATTCACGGGCGTCAGGCAGTCCCACGAGAGCAGACGTCCAACACTCCAAACTCTGTCCTCAACGAGCCACACTATCCCTCACATTGACACTTGATCTGTGAACACCTCTCACTTCCCAAGGTCAGATGCCAGATCGCCCGTGCTCACGTCTGTGGGTCGCTCGTATCTTCTATTCATTAGTTCTCTAGACCACCAATAACTTCCTTTCCTGAGCTCCTCTGACCCTGACTGCTGCTCCTGCACAAAACCTAACTCTGCCTTACTGTGAGTCGCCTGGGAAAGAGAAGTCACCCGGGTGGGGCTGCTCCCGCCCCGCCACACGAGGGCACCTCGCTATGCGCTGTAAGTGCAGGCTGCTCTCACCAGGTAGCTCATGAGGGAGTCACTACTTTGGGCAACATGCCAAGAGAAGAACATGACTTAAGCTCCTAAACCTAGTAAAAAATAAGCCTCTCTGAAAGAGGCCACGCCCAGAAGCAAGGCCTCTCAGTGGGAGACACCATGATCTCTACTTGGCTCCAGGGCAGGACAGGCTGAAACTAAAGAGACACCTGGGAGGCAGGGTCCTCCCGACTCAGCGCAAGTTCCTTCAAGAATCCAGGAAAACCACAAAATGGGCCACAAAGAGCAGGAGTATAAGAGAATTAGAAAAACAGGAAAAAATATACTCACTTGCCAATGTCATCTTGATCTGCAAACTTCTCATCGTTGAAGCCAAACTGGTCAATAAAATTGGACGTCATTTGTTGCATCTGATAATCAGAAAAGGCCTGGCAACCCCAGGACCAGTGACAGTGATATAATGATTCTAATGACATTCTACATACTATTTGCCCATTTGTGTTCCAGAAATCATCATATTTATATAGTCACAGGGCTTAAAAAGTTGGTGTGTTTTCTAAAAAAATATCAAATAATTTCAGACACAATTTACCCAAAACAGGAAATGTTTGGAATTTTGTCCACGAGTCGTTCGAATGCGCGTGTCATTGTAAGAAATGTTAAGTGACCGCTCTGTTCTCTACTGCAAATTATCTCTAGAGAGGCTTGGGTTGTCTAGTTCGAGATGTGATCAAGTGACATATGACGGTCTGAAATTATACAGCGTACCAGTTATCTCTAGACACAACCAACCTCACCCTGAAGAGCCAACAAGTGGGGACCCCCACCCTCCCTCTCGGCATCTCCCCACCCCCAATCCAGCACAGCAACTAAGAATCACCATCACGACTCTACAAACACAACGTTCGGGGACACTTTTTGTAAAAAAAGATTTAAGTCTTAGAGACTGAGAAGAGTATAAAAGTAACTTCTGTCTCACCTACCTGAGAGGGAGGACAGACAGTTTTAACACTGGTCCGAAATCAGCCCGCAAAGCCTATACTGGTTTCCTACACCATACTAAAGCCCGCTTGGGTTTTCTTAGGTGAGAAATGGGGGGAATGTTACAGTGGACTCCACAAAAAAGTCGATATTCTAATTTAAAAGAACGAGCAGGCCCAGGGAGCAGGTGGAGTCGGGGATGTGTGCTCCGTTGCCAGTCGAGGGCAGAGAACACAAGAAGATGAGCCATGTCCTGCCAGTTTTACCCAAAAAGATAAAAATGGAGACAAATAACAATGTGTGTGCCGCCCAGGGACAGAGCTGTGGACAGGAGACGGCCCTTTCCTGCAGGAGAGCCCCACACAAGGGACACGAGCAGCACGTGGCGGCTGACTGCAGGCGTCACTCCCAAGGCCACTTGCTGGGAGGGGGCAGCTGTGGCTAAGTTATAGCCCCGTCCCTGTGGTTCTCCATCTGAGCGGAAGCCACGGACGCAGCCCTGCAGAGGTCCGCTGCGGACGTGCCTCTACCTCCCCTTCCCGACGACTCATTCTGGTGGCAGGGAATTATGGCATGGATAATCCAAGTCACGGATGCTTTATAAACACACCTTATATTTGGCTTTGGAAGGCATCTTTTCTGTAGGTCTGAAAAAGGCTGTATCTAGTTTACTGAGAACGTAAAATCTTTTCTCTAAGTCGGGATGCCCACTCCCACTCTCACGCTGCCCCCTTTCTTGCCCACGGGGATGATATCACATGAGCACCGGGGCCTGGGGCCAGCCCCGCCAAGCACCGTGAGCGAGGTGCACCCGGGCTGAGCTGCGGGAATCTGGCTGAAGACAGAAGTGGAGGCAAAAGCTCTGCGAAGCTGGGCTGAGTTGTGGACATGTGAATGGGAATCACGATACGCAGCATTCACGTTCGTTAAATCAGAAAGAAAGAACCGCCCCTCCGGATCACAGCTTTAGCTTAAGGTAAAATGAATGCTTGGCAGCTTCCAGCAAGGAAGAACCCCGAAGGCGGCCTCTGAGCAGCCACGCAGGCCAGGCTCTGAGTTTACTGAGAGAACAGAAATTTGGTCACACGAGGGAGAGGCTCCCTCTCCATTCTTCTTTCTTTCCTTTAGTTTTTTTGTACTTCTAGAGATACTGTAAATCTTTGGGGTGTAAAAGGGAAAAAATGTTACCCAAAGTGTTCCTATTAATGCTTCACGATACTTTAACTGCTTCATAAACAGAATGCAAATACTAAACGTATTGTAAGTGTGTGTGTGAACACATACGCATGTGCACGCACAGTCGCCCCTCCGTATCCACTGGGTGTTGGTCCCGGACCCGCCTCAGATGCCCAAATCCGAGAATGCTTAAGTTCCTTTTATATAACTTTGTATTTGCATATAAAGTACCCACATCCTCCCATATACTTTAAATTATCTGTAGGTTACTTATAATACTTAATACAATGTAAATACTATGTAAATATTTGTTAGGAAATAACGACTGAAAACTCTTGTCTGTTCAGTACAGACCCACTGCAGGCCTCGTTACATAGTATATACATTGGCAACAACATAACGTTTCTTTCTGAATATTTTCGATCAGCGGCCGGTTGAATCCGCCAACGTGGAGCCCATGGACAGAGAGGCAGCTGTACAGTCACACACGTAGACACACATACACATGTACACATGCATTTGCATTCATCTACCTATTGAGATATGTAGCAACTGACACAGTTAACCTCTGTGCAACAACAGAGTTAAAGAAAACAGATAAACTGTAGTCTTCGTTAGTGCTAAGTCTATTACAGTTTCTAGGAAGATACGACCTGGCAAAGAACTTCAGGTTTCAAACCTGAGTTTTACTAATAAAGCCGCCAAGGCCTGCTAAACCCACAAACCCACATAAGTGAAGGCTGCAAATGGATTCTATTTAAAGCTACGTAAAAGTGCTTTGGACACTGAGAAAGCCAAGTCTGGAAAGCACCATATGGCTGTGTAATTATTAAAATCTTTTAATTACCTAAACAAAACAAAAACGTGGAACAGAAAAAAGCAAGCCCACACTTTCCAGAACTGTCAGCCTGTCCAAAGTCACTGAGGAGCACACCCACTGCTTTGTTAAGCCAATCTCTTTGGTGGTGCCCTTGGGCGACCAAAACTCCCTGTCCGCTAGAGCCCGTCTGTGGCTTCGCCCCCCGCCCCCCACCCGCATCTCCGCCAGGCAGGGATGAGAGGATGCGAGGAGGAAGAGCCGGACACTGGAGCACAGGCCGCCGGAGGGGGCAGGAGGCACAAGGGAACGGGCCAGGGTACACACGCAGTGGGGCGCTCCCTGAGCCTGACATGGCCCCACGGGTGATGCAGTCTGGAAGCCTTATTAAATGACCTGCCCTGCGCTCTCTACACTCCAGACCTGACCCACGTGAGACCTAACTGCAAGAACTCGACTAGGTTAACCCAGACTTGCATTCTCAAATGAAAAAGAAAAAAGGTTTGGAACATATTTCTTATTCTCAAAATGATCCATGACTGGTTTTAAACATGCAAAGAAACAGTTTACTAGAAGCCTGTCAATCAGAAAAAAACAATTATTTTTCCTAATTTTAGAGAGTTACACAGAGCGGATAAAATCCACGAAACCAAGCCTGGTGAGAGCTGTGTTACTCAGGCAGTTGTGGGCTGGGATGGCTTCACATGCACAGCGACAGCAGGCAAACCAGATAGAGTCTGGAAGTTGTCCCAGAGGGGCCATGACCCTGGAACCAGGTTTCATGAGCAATAAGGAGACCTGCACTTGATACCCAAGTGCGGCCGCTCCTTGACTGATAAATCAGGAGCCTACAGCTTCATGTTTATTAGCTTATTCAGCATTAGATATTTAGGACGCTCCTTTTCTTAAAGCTACTCTGACAGGTGCAGAAGCCCCTGGATCAGGTACACCTCGCACCGTCACGCCCCACTGCCAGGTGGAGCCGTGGGTGGTGCGGGGCTTTGTCCTGGGCAGAGGGGGCCACCTGTCTCCACAGGTGCGCCAGCACAGAGAAGAGCTGCTGGCAAAGCGCCTCCTGGGGCAGCACCGGAGGGCTCTGGGGTCGTGAAAGGACTGCGAGCAGGGCCCCCTGGGCGGCAGCGAGGTGCTGCGGTCCACGGGAAGGCCCCACCGTGGCCGCTCTGCCCCTGCACTCAGGAGGCTGGCTTCAAGGGCCAGTGTCAAGGGTCAAACGAGAAGCTGGCCAAGGACTGAAACGTTACTTCAGACCTATCTTGAAAATGTGAGAGTTAAACTAACTGCCTTAGTATCAAAACCAAGCAATTGCTTAGCTTGCCCTATCTGGACAGGGCAAGATGGGCATCAGAAGCCTCACCCTGGCCCTGGTGAAACGCCCTATCTGGAGCAGGACGGTCACCTGAGGTGCCAAAGCTGTGACAGGGCCACATGGGCATCAGAAGCCTCACCCTGGCCCTGGTGAAAGATGGGGCTTAAAGACTGAGAAAAAAGAAGCCACGCAACGCTCAGTGTCGGGCGGGAAGGCGCGCACACTGCCTGCTGCCACACCGAGGCGGCCGACATGCCAGGACCTGGTCCTGACTAAGGGTGACTCCAGATGAAGAGCTGGTCACTTTTAAGAGCGTTTCTGCTTTTAGCTCCTATACCTGATGCTCAGTCGAGGTAGTGAAATCATCTGTCACCTCTCCAAAGACCACCAATGGGAGATAAATCAGTACATTTATGTTTATATCCTGTTTCTTCCCTTACAAGCAGCTGATATATGGAGAAAAATCTGGGGGTGGGAAGGGAGGGTGACAATGATTTGCTTCAACTGAAATTGAATTTAGCAGACCTTAAAGATATTAGAAACACATAAGCCATTTGGTTCAGGGACATCTGTGAAAGTTACTCTCAAAGATAAGAGATAAATCAGTACATTTATGTTTATATCCTGTTTCTTCCCTTACAAGCAGCTGATATATGGAGAAAAATCTGGGGGTGGGAAGGGAGGGTGACAATGATTTGCTTCAACTGAAATTGAATTTAGCAGACCTTAAAGATATTAGAAACACATAAGCCATTTGGTTCAGGGACATCTGTGAAAGTTACTCTCAGCGACATTTAAAAGGCCTCGTTCCTGTTGCTCTCGCCCACAGCGACTCAGCTGTTGTAAAAGTCCGCGTGACAAGCACGCCTGAGACGCTTCCTGAACTACCCCATTCCTTCAGACCCCCTGAAAATCCACCCAGCCCATCACGGTATCAGGCATGGAACACGTCCTAGAAATGTAATCAATACCATCCTCACTCTCACGTGCCCAACACGTCTACCTAAATGCTTTTCCTACCAATGAGCCCCGAACCCCATCCTAATACATTGTCTGACTCCAAAACTGATTCATAAATTGCAACTGGACTAAGCATTTAAAATAAAAACAAAAGCAAAGCTTTAGGCATGACTCACTTGCTGCAAAGAAGAATCCTGTGAGAAACCCGTTTCTTTAAAGTCAATTTCATCATCACTGGATGAATGAATATGGCAGGTTGTAACCTATATGCATAAAAATGTAAAAGACTATTTAACAGAGAAACGTTTTGGACATTTGCATCAGCATTTTAATGGAAAAATCACATTTAGTTTTTCTCTCAACGTGTAACAACAGCAAGAACAGAACTCAGTTAACAGGTAAATTGTGAAATCTGCCCATGATTGCAGAGCGCACGAGGCTCAGCCAGATGGCCTGGTTTCCTGCCCTCTGCCGCCCACTGGTGGTGACTCCTCATTACTAACATCTCCAGAAAACAGGTAGGAGATGGGTTACTCTGTTCGAGCGATTCTGATAATGACTCCAATTAAACGTTCACAAAGGGAAGGTAGAAGGAATGGCTCAGATGAAATATAAAAATAATTTATATGTGCCAAGCTTGAAGGCTAAAACTGCGATTTCCAGGGATTACTAATGAACCATTAGAAAGATCAGGTTTAAATTTAACTGTTTCACTTTGAATTCTTGCATTTCCTGCCCACTCTAAGAAAAACGATGTCCATAAGCGCTAACTATGACTTGAGTCAATAGTCCCCTGGCCCTAAAAGACCCCAAATGCCCCTTAAAATGCACCCTCCGCCCCCAGAACTTACAACTAACTCGCATTAATTAAGCAAAAACACAAACATGAACTACTCACCGATTCATGGTAACTGATTTTTATTAATTCATAAACGTCAAACAATATTAGGGGAAACGCATTAACAGTAGAAATGAAGATACACGAATGACTCAGCACAGCACTAACAGCAGCGATTGCTCTACGGCAAGTAATAAATAGGAGAAGTGTGTATGCTCCAGAACCCGGCACAAAACTTCTGAGGGTCACTTACACTACTGCATTTTCTGAATTACTCTTCCTGTACTTTTCGTAGAAGTGTTTTGGGTGGAGACCACTGTCCTCGGGGGAGCACGTAAGTGGCCATTACCTGCCACACAGTGATGCTGTACTGAACAGCCTGGAGTTACGGAAACTGGCCAGGTCTGCTCTGTGACGTTTTAACACTTCTTCCAGAATCTAAATAGGTTTGGTGTGTGGTACAGCGTGTGAAAATCTGAGTAAATCATGGCCTGAATGAAATTAATCCGCTTCTCTCTGTCTGAACATCTTTGGCGGAGACACTAAGCCGCGTGAATAAACCAGCGTTTCCAATTCATTCCCTCTCCGTCGTCCCTAAGGCCTAGATGACGCGCTCTCACCCTAATTTAGAATCTGGGCTGACGAAATCGGAGGCAGCGTTTGTGACGGGTGAAGGGAACCTGCCTGCGTCAGTTGCAGCGTTAGTGAGTTAGTGGGGAAAGACGTGGCGATGGGACGTTCCAGGAGCGCCCGGCCAGCATGCCGAAGTGGGGCAGCAGAATACTGCTTGGTCATGGCAGCTGGCACCTCACGGGCCGCTGCTACCGAGGGCAGCTCAAGCAGTTCCACTGCAGCGGACTCTGAGCTGCTCTGGGCTGCTGGGCTGGCAGGCTAGTCAGATTAAACCGGTGTGTTTGAGGGGCGTGACCCTATGCTGGGGCACAGATCAGAAGACAATTCAAAGAGCAAGGCAGGTGACAAAGTAAGAGAACAAAAAAAGGGGTGGCCGCTCCTGACATGTCTTGTTGTCTAAGTTTGAACGGGGTACATGTATCCTCATTCGTGCTTGTACTTTTTGCTACAAAACACGATTTTATCAGCTCAATAATTAAAGATGACAAACTAGCTTTTGTCAAGCAACCACTATGTGCCAGACACTGGGATCCCTCTATACATTCTCCTTCCCTGGAACCCTCAAAGCCACTCAGGGAGGTATTGAAAATAATTTTTTTCTCCAAAAATAAAATCTACTGCTTTAGAAAGTTATTAGTAGTAACGCAGTGCATGCACACCTCCGTAATTACGTCACTGAAAGGTGTGGTGATTCTGATTTAATAAGATGAGCTAAAAGGACCGGGTAGGGGGTTTCTGCTAACTGGAACCCCAGCAGTCACCGCGCAGACGCGCCCGCCACCGAGTCCCTGATCGACACTCTCAGCACGTTGCTGCGTGGCATCTCCAGCTCGGCAAGCATCGCTTCCGCCCTTCTGCGTCCCCGGCTGAAACCTCCGTCGTCACATTTCTTCTGTCCACGCTACTGAACCACAACCCGCGCCGCACCGCCGCGCATGACTCTACGGCGCCGCCTGGGGCCGGCCCCTCGGCCTCTGGTCTGGATTAACGCACCAGGCAGCTCGCCCATCTCTCTGCTTCTACCTCTGGCCCCACTATCAGTCTGTTCTCAATCCAGCAGCCACGATGGTCGTTCTAAATGCACATTATGTCACTTTTTTCAGATTCCAATCTAAAGGCTTTTCATCGCAGTAAGGTCACACCCCCAGGGGCTTGCTGGGGACTAGAAGTGGTTGGAGTCTGGGCTGCAGAGCCCCTCAGAGCTCACATCCTGCTCTCTCCCTCGCTCCTTCTGGGGTGACATGCCAGCCTCGGCACACCGCGACAACCTCTGTCCTCTGCACTCACCCTTCCTCACTCGATCCCATCAAGACTCCAAACAAATAATAAGTTCTCTGACAGGTTTCCCAGCCCATCTAATTTTAAATGCGTATCTATCTGCCCCAGAGGCTCCTTGACTCCTACCCTAGAGTTTATCCACCTATTTGTTTCTCCATCTCCTCTGGCGCATGGATTTTTGCCAATCTTGTTTAGTCCGATGTCCTCAGTGTCTGGCACATAGTAGCCATTCAAATATTACTTGAACTAATGAATGCTAATAAGTCACTAAATGAGAACACAGAATCAATCGTAACTTTTAAAAAAGTAACAAGTACGTAAGAACACACATGCCGACACGACGTTAACAGACTCTTTAAATCTGACCGTCTCGCCGTGTGAGCCAACTTCTCCTCACTCCATTTTACTGCAGACTGTTTAAGTAGTCGGAGGACAGTGGCAAAAGTGCGACAGGCAAAGGGGCACTGAGCTCCCCGTGCATTGCAGGTGGGGCCCATTTCTGCTTCAACACGGGGCCGTGCCCGCTAACCTGCCGGCACGCCCTCACGCCACAGCGTTTACGCAGGCACACGCCAGGTGGCTGACAGCGCCCCGCGAAGCAGCCGGGTGTTATCTGAACTGCAATGGAGTCCTCCTTTCTACAGGACTGCTCATAAGAAAAATCTGCTAGAATTACCAAAGATAAAGTTTTGAAAAATTCTGATAATAAGTTAAATGGACATTTTTTTTTTTTTTACTTCTACCTAAAAAGTCAATCAATGGATAATTTTCAAAGAAGTTTCCCAATCAAAATGAGAATATTCCTAAATGTTCCTTCATAAACAGAAAGAAGACAAAAATTCCTTAAAGGAGATCACCTTGCCTACATTCTTAACAAGGAATCGACGTAGAGGCCTCTAAAATTAACAGTGTGAGAGAACAATTTCACCCTGCGATAAAACCCTGATTATCCAGAATTTTAACCAGTTTGGGGAAAAAACAATTTACAGTGGGTAACATATTCGTTAAAAATTACTTAATCCTTCCTTAATGACTCCAGGCCGTCAGCATGAATGTGTTTCTCTGTTGGGATACAGCACACTAAGACAATGAGGGCCGTCCGATCTATTTTCATTAAATGGCCCCACACAGGTGCCCTCTTAGAGTCATTTCTTAACTTCACAATTCCCCCAACTCCTCACACCTACTAAGTCTATCATTATACCCACCTTAACAAGCCATTACCCCACCAATCTGTCAAGAGTCTGGAAAAAGATAACCAAATTTGTTAGACAATCTACGAAGTAGGAGGCAACGGGCCCTTCAGGGGTGTGACTCAGGATGCCCTAGTGACCTCTCTGGAGCTGCCTCAGCCTGTTTCCCTCTTGCTTCTGAACTCTGCTCTAGACAGATGAGACTGGACACACGTGACTGCCTAACAATCGAGGTGCTACTGTTTATTAGAAATGCGAGACTGCAGCTGCTGAATTTCAAGTGCAGAATTAAATGCCTGACACATCTACTGTCATGTGGAGTCAAGGCCACCACCTCGAATATTAGCTGGGACATGCTTAAGAAAGAAAATGCTTTTCCACGTCGTTCAAAACAAAAGCAATACTCACCTTAAAAGAGTATGTTAAAAAAAAAAAAAGAAGAATGCATTCCAAAATCCAATATAATTTAAAAAGGTATTATCGATGCCATCATTCCCTGGCTAAAAGTACCATTCTGTTAAAAGACTTTAAAGCTGGAGTTTCAAAGGCATCTACAAAATTTCACCCACTGGGAACAATTATAAAGCAAGGGTCAACCCAACTCAATAACATTAGAAAATATCCAAAGAAATGTTTAGATTTTCTGACCACTCAGGGCTATCTGAGGCAGAAGGCGACAAACCCCAAAGAGTAGCAGGAAGACTAGAAGCTGTTCTGCTGTCTGCTGAAGTGCTGGGGGGCCAGGCACTGAGGACAACGAACTAAGTATGGGGCGAAGTAGGCGTCAGTGATTTCTCTGTGTCCCTTTGTCAACCCAGGCCGGAATTAGCAATTATCTAGGCAAATTAGCCAGAAAACTGAACACTGACCTCTCTTGCTGGTAAAGAAACAGACTTCTCCTTGACCCACAATCACTGGGGCAAACGGAAGATCTCTCACGCCTTCCTGAATAAACGGGCAGAGGCTAAGAGCCCTGAAATCATAGAAACGTAACCGCGTGAAACCTACTAGATCCACCGTGTTCCTCTTGTTAGTTTCTCCTAAGGAGCTCGTGCAGAACGACTCCCATCGCTCCCTGACTGCGTCTGGAAGACCTTCAGAGGGAAAAGAGAAGAAAAGCATCGTCACTGCAGTGACCCAGACGCAGACGCAGACGCAGACAAATACGATCGACAGGCAACATGAGAGGGCGCCGTCCCCTCGAAGGCGAACTCGTAGAGACCGAGTTGTAAGGACTCGCGCGGCCTGGTCCCCAGGACTTCCAGGAACCAGAACCAGCTCCCCCCACTCCAAGTCTATGCTCAATGCCGAGAGCCTTTAGAAGCTATGAATTTAAGAAGTTTTTTAAAAACCTTTTGGTTAAAAACTTAACCCGGAAAATGTGACTATTTCCAATAAACTCTCCTGCGAGGTACCAAGTCTTCATGGGGGGGATGGGATGGTGTGTCTGTGTGTGTGTCTGTGTGTGTGTGTGTGTGTGTGTGTGTGTGTCTCTCTCTCTCTCTCTCTCTCTCTCTCTCTCTCTCTCTCTCTCTCTCTCAGGGGTGATGCTTTTTCCACAGCCGTGCGAGTTTAGGAAATGCTGCAGATGTCAGCCCCACACATTTTCCTGAGGTACCCTGACTGGCATCTCGCCAAAGAATTTCTATGGAACCCAGGCTGGCTTTTTAAATTGCGCAAAAATACTGTTTCCTAAATATCTGTATCATAAGCCAACACATGAATACATGAATGCCAACACTCAAAGTCTACCTTCTAGAGAAATTTTAAAGGAAAGAATTCAGAAACTTTTCAGAGAAAGTGCAACTACAGCTATAATCTCGGAGGCCTCAGTAGAGTTGTCGCCTGACAATCCTGGTTTAAACACGTGCACGCACCCTCATGCAGCCCCTGGCGAGCAACTTCTGGAAAACAAAGACTGATCTAAAAAACAATCACACACATGGCCATTCTCCCGGGTAAGAACATAAAACTCTATGATCTGGCTTAGACCCCCTTCAAGAAGCAAAAGTATAGGTGGGCCAGCCCCAACTTTTCCACCTCTGGGCAACAAGTAGGCTTTGAATACACATGCGATAGGTAACAGCCTCTTGAACACACGAACATTCCTGAAAGATAACCAGGATAGACTGAAAAACAGTTTTCATCAAGTTAGCTCTGAGCGAACCCTGTACTGCAAAGGTAAAGACTTTTTACATCCGGAGACAAATACAATCGACAGGTAACACGAGAGGGTGCCTGTCGTGTAAGTCACAGGCCTATGCCCTGTGGGCACACAGAGCTCTCTCGTTCCAGAAGACAGCCGGCGGCCTGCGTGCCAGTGAGAGGTACCCCAACTCGTTCCTCCACGTCACCTGGGGCTGACTCCGCTTGGACACGAGTACGGGAGGGGTCCCTGAACAGCCCGCAGCCCTTGATTTCATGATGGAGGTATGGGTAACGCTGCAAGTACTTTAATATCTCAGTTACAGGAAGTCGACCCGCAGACAGGGGGCCTTAAGAAAATAAGCACCAAGAGTAACTACAGCTCAAGTGGCTCAATGCTGGCCTGTGGGCACGTCGGGCCTCAGGAACGAGTCACAGAGCGACGCTCTGAGCAGGAGACGGGATGCGCGCGCGCTGCCCAAGCCCAATGGCCACCGACGGGACCGCGGGAAGAAGTTCAAAGCATCCTCAAGGACCACACTCAGATCGCCAGATAATTACTGAAGTCACGTCACAGGTAACTAGGAAAACGCTACGAGTGTCTCCCCTTTATTCTTCAATCCTTCTCCGACGCAAGAGCACGTGATCGCGGCTCCCTGAGCCACCTACCTTTGATAAGCTGCTGTACCAACGTGCTGTTGGGGCCCTTGTCCGTACTGTGCACGATGCAGTTAGCTATCCTCGTCAGGTGTCCCATGTAGCCGTGCCGTCGTCCCCCCTCAGCCCTGACAAGGGGTAAAGGACAAAGATTCAGATTCCCGACAGGATGCAGGGATGAAACAGGGGGGCTGTCTCCTCAAAGATTACACTGCAGCCTCACTCAGTGGACAAGGTTTGTTCAAATATACAGGCCGACCATTCATCTGCAACAACATGTTACCTTTACAGACCAAAACCCAAGTATTCACTGGTGCCTAATGTTTCTGTGACTTTCCTTTTTTGTCTTTTTGTAAAGCTATTTTTCAGACTTTAAACAGACTGTAGGAGACTGTAATAACTCTGCTGGTTCGTTTTGCTACAGGATATCAAATTTTAATCATACCAATCAATTAACAGAGGTACTTATCTACCAATGGCATTTCTCAAGTTAAAATATTGGCTGATTTGAGGACTTGGCCAAGATGAGAGGCAGCCAACCTGTGTTTGGTCCGCACACCACTTGGAACACAGACAAATGATTCCTTGTCCCTTTCCACATTCAGTGTCTAATCTTCCCACCTATGATCCATCTTCCCATTTGGACAAGTGCCTATGAAGACAACAGACCTAGGGACAAAAGTCTGTGTAACAGTTACTTACACGTGTCAACTAATGCTTCAAGGAATCTTGTCAATCAGCTAATGGAAATATCTAAAAAGAATCTACTAGGCCATTTCCTCCCTCTAGTTCCATGAAGCAATTTGTCTCTACAGTGACAACTGGGGTAACCGGGACAAGTGTGCTAGGGGAGCCGTCATCAAGGAGGCCCTGACTTTACAACTGCTCCTTCGACTCCACATTATTCTCAGAAAAACAGCCTTTCAGAAAGGACCAGGAAATTTCAAGGGCAGCACAGAGGTGGGTGTGCTTTCAACTCTTGGTTTCTCCTCAAGAGAGGTAGAAAAGACAGAAGGATCTAAAAATTAATTATCAGAAAAATATGTTACAATATCTGGTTGTCCCGAGAGGACGGTTTCTAACTGTAAAGTGGCACGTACCCATGTAATTACTTTCACTGTTCTCTGTCTAGGGCAAGAGAGGACATTTTTTTCAAATGAAAAATCAAACTGAATTCCTATCAGAAAACAATTTACTTACTGTTTCTTTTCATTCATTTCCCAGGCATCAAGTATTCGTTCTATTAACTGACATTTTTGAAAAAGCTGAATAAAAAAGAATATTCCAGTTAACATTTACATGAATGTCAAAGTGTCAAAATTTTGAAATGAGATAGAAATCTAATTAAAGAGAACAGTGATATGTACAACTCGGCAAGCTAAATATAGCTGTGCATTACTGGCTAAATCAAAGGCGGCATGACAGCAAGCTTATGCAAGGCCTGCGAATACTACAGGACTCAGAGAGGACCCACGCCTTCGGTAGTATTTCAAGGACTGGATCAGTGAGCCGCTGACCTAAAGCCAGGTTTTATTAGCCATGGAAACTGGGCCCAGAGATAGAGCCCGACCAAAATTACACTGGAATAAAGAAAACTGTGCCTGGCAAAAATTTAACTCAGAATCCACAGCAATACTTGTACTTTCAGATGTGAGCAAAACTACCTTCTAGATGCACTAACAGTATGGCACTCATATTAAAAGTAGGTGCCACAATTCTGCAAGCCAATAACAAGCACTGTGGGCTGCTTTACAGGAAAGTCAAGGCCAGTTTCAGTTCAATGTCATTTGTCTTCCCCCATCTGCCTGGCTATTCCAGGTTAGCCTTTCCCACCTGCCAGGTGTGGGGGAACCCGGTGTAAGCTAGAGATCCGCACACAACCAGAGCATTTAAGAGCAAGAAGAAACCTGAACATTGACTTAGTAACACTGCCTCATACTTTGCAAAAGAAAACAGATCCCAAGAAGAGGCTCCCTCATCACTGCACGGAACTCACTTCTCCCAACCTTCGATCGTGTATTCAGCACCAGAAATGAAAACTGCGGCATGCCACACAACTCTTCAGATGTTTTCTGCAGTATTTAAACTTGTATGGTTCTTTTAATCTCCAAATCTATTTTTAATATTCAAATCTATTACTTTTACGAAATAAACAGGCCACTTAGATTTTTCTCTTTAAAGTTCATCAGGGTTCTTTGTCCAGGATTTGATTTATATAAACTCTGGTTAAAAGTGCAGTGAAAATAAGACAATTAAATATTTAGACTCTGAAAGTTAACCTCATGCCTTTAAACTTTCATTTATTTCACACCTAAGTAGGAAAATGCTATAATCGCCGAGTGGCAGAATAAGAACAACAAGTAAGCTTACATGTTTCAACAACAAATTGTCACCAGTGGAGCCCTGATCAGTAATTGTGCCATTTTCTGTGTTTTCGAAGGGACTCGCAAGAATCAGTGCAATACAAATCTCCACTTGTGTATGCAGAAAGTTATTCCACGTGTATCTGAAGAACATGTCCTACAAAAAGAAAAACAATGCTTTCGTTTAGTCAGTTTAATACATTTACCAAATATTGATTTAATAAAATAAAAATGATGTGTTCTTAGTCCAATAGGACTAATTAAAAGGGACACAAGTTTATTTTAAGGGTGTTGGAACGCCACTTCACAGACTGCAGAACAGGTACCTGCTCATTTGACATGCCATACTGATGGCTTCTGTGCAGGGCATGGTGCTTTGGGCAACATGGGAGACAGAGTTAGACAAAAATATGGTCCCTAATCTCGAAGTGCTCACACCTTAGCAGAGAATAACAACCTAGAACTCAGAACTATCAGCAAATGGAGCAAAACAAGACAGGACATGAGATCTCCTGGAGGTTACCAGGGGTTTCAAGATTATCTGAAAAGGTAACAGCATCACAAAAAGACAAGACAATCCCTAAAGCACAAAACACATCATTAAAGTATGTATGGATTCTGGATATCTTTGAATCTGGCCATCTAATGTCAAAATGGAAAAGTAATGATAATGATCCTTTGAGGAGTGTATCAAATTTGTAATCACTCAAAAGTTACTCTAAGATTAACAACAAGATGGATTAACAATAGCTGTATACTTGTTATTAGTAAGATAAAGTGTAGTAATTGATGACTTCAGAGAGACTCCCAAAGACAGGAGTAGGAAGTTATATTCCCGGAAACTCATATACTAATCAGAGGGCAGGGTGAAATCTAGCCCCCAGAGGGCAACACTAGGCTACCCCAGAAACTAATCCTTTAATGTTTCTTCTTTCTACAAAAGGTCCCTGCCCTCTATGCCCTACACTGATGTCTTTTAATCCAAGGCTGAAGTAAATAAACTATCTCAGTGACACTAAGAAGTACGAATGTGTGGCTGAAGGTGTGGCTGATAAGGCACCCATGGCTTTGAAACTGGATGTGAATTCAAAGGCTGGCTCCACCACGTACAAGCCATGGGATGCCTCCCCTCTCTGGGCATGATCTAAAAAACAGGGTCTTTATACTCAGGATAATATGAAAAATGTATAAAAAGTGCACATTCCAATCCTTTTGTGTAGTGAGCAAACACCCAGACTCTCCTTTGAAACAGCCCCAAAATCCCCCAAATGAAACCTGCTAAATGTCCACCCTCGTGCCTTCCGGGGCTATGGGTGGCAGGACCCACACAGCCAGCATGGGCACCGGGGCCGGGCCTGTGGATTCTAGCCACAGGCTTTGAAGCTGGGAAACTCAGGAGTCAGGGGAGTCCAGATAATTCCCAGGCTCTTCCTTTTCCCTTCCCTCGGCAAGGAAACTTGACAGCTGTTTCAAGGAAGAAGCTGGACTCTAATCAAAAGACCAGACAGTACCTCAGATACATTATACAGATACATGTCAGTGGGAAAAGGTACACGCTGTGCCGTTGCTACTTACGACGAGGAAAGAATACTCTAACCAGCAGTCACTTACTGCTAATACAGTCCCCCGAGTCGGTGACCAGACTCACTGCGTCGTCTGTGAGAGACTAAACGTCTTAATTATCTTTGAAATTCTCTAACATAGTTCTTTACAGCCGGCAAGGATAAATTACTGAAAATGTAAAAGCATTCAAAATTGGTGATAAACTCAAGGCAAAAACTATAGAAAAGGCCATTTACGCTTCGACCAAGAAAAGTCATTGACACACGTTGCAAATCTGTGAGGCTGTACCCTGTGTTATGCATCCACAGATTGTCAAGGGTGAAGGAGAACGTCCCTCCGGGAGTGGGGGGGTCTTACCAATATGACCCCGATGCTATTCAGCTCCATGAGGTCCCCGTTGATACTGCTGGTGTTTGTCTGAAGGAGGCTGGATATCAACCGAATCACGTTCAACCGGGTGTTCCCCACGGGAGGGTCCAGCACGCCCCACGTCGTCTTCATCACACTTTTCTGAGGGAGAAGGAACTTTCCAATTAACAAGCTTTCCAATTCGATCCACGTGAGTAAGTAAACAAAGAGGAGCAGGGGGAGGTACTACGATGTAACACCAGGTAAACTAACATTGCAAACAATTTGGCCTGAATTCTACACCGGAAGGAAAATCCAAAGCTGCTACTGATATCTTCAAGATATGAAGGGAAAAAAAAAACATCAAGTAATTTCCCTGGACTGTAGTTTTATAAGAAATCAAGTATCCCCCCCGCCTGGACATTCTACAACGCCACAGAAGGAAAGCAAAAAGCTACTCAAGTCCCTTAGAAACAAGTGCCGTATTCCAAACCTGACCAGAAACTGAGAGAAGTTACAAGTGGTCTGAACAGTCCTCGATCTTTGCCAAATCTGTGATGAAAATGCAAACACAGAAGCTGCTGCTGGATCACGACCTTGAGACAAGATCAACCTCAAATCTGTTCTTGTCCTTAAAAGGGAGTTTTTGAACTTTGAAATCACAAGAGACAGACATAGAACACTTGAGGATGTCAGCAGGCTGACAGGGAAGGGTGGCGAGGTAGGCCCTGGCTCGCCCTTCCTTCGTCCTCGTCCCCGCTCCTGCCAGCACCCTCACGCCCTCCTGCTCCTGTCGGGGCATAAGGGAAGTGTAAGGCTCAAACTTCACTCCACGTGAAACAGCTCTAATCGACAGACATTTCAAAAAGCTTCATCGACCTACCCACACCCCCTATCATACAGTCAAGTCAGGTACCAACTGGTCTCGCTCCCGGCAGCCAGACAGAGGAAGCCCAAACGAGACGCTGCCTTTCTTCTGAGTCAGGGCCAAGTAGAATACAGGCTGAGACTCCACATTAGACGCCACCTGTTTGTCCCCCAGAAGGAAGATGGGCAGGCCCCCCAAGACACAGGTCAGGGGGACTTCGCCACACACCCTCTCCTCTCTCAGGTCCTCCTCCCGCCTCCAACTTCCACTAGTGATGGTCTCTGCTCTTCTCCCGAGTACATCCTTTCTTCTTCCTTCTTTGCTCTCTCCGATCTTCTCCCCAGGTCTGGTGTGAAGGAGCCACCGACCGTCCCTGTCACACCAGCTCAGGAGCTTTCTCTGAGGGTGAATGCCAAACCCGAGGCCCGAACCCAGTGAGGCCCGAGCGCAGATGGACAGCACCACCGAGGCAGGACCACTGCTTGCTCGCTGAAGAGACAACCGAGAAGTGAGCAGCCGCCCGGTGACGAGCGTGAGCTACTGTGCTCCCCCTCTGCAAAGTGGTCAAGCAGGAAACATTCTGTTTAGAAGGGAGAAACTAGCACGCTAAATTCCCAGTAACTCACGGGTGTCACAGAGGGACGTGCTGCAATGGCCAGGATCCTGGATCCAGCGACACGGGCAGAGGCAGAAGGAAAGCATGAGCACTGGTGCCGGCAGCAGAACTCTCCAGAACGGAGGCTTCTGCCCTACAGATTCTAAAGGGAAGAGCCTCTTACCCTAAACTAAAGCTCTGCACCAACCGAGGGGTGTGGGTGTCGCGGACTACGGACGCCCCTCCTTTGCGGGCCTTCACCGTGTGCTGTTTGTGCTTTCGGTGGCTTGCCTGAGTGAACGGGCGTGTTTGAGTAGCACGCGGATGCGCCCACGGAAAAACTAACGCTCCCCGGCACAGTCGGCTGACCGCTTCTGTAAGGCGTCTGCCCCAACCGCCAGGAAGACCACTCCACTTCAAAGCCCAGTTCCTCGAAGACTAACTATCTCAGAGATGTGAAATAACATGCTATGAGAAGAGAAGTATTTATTTTACAGGTATATGTAAGTGCCCAAAATTTATAAAAAGAAAGAACAAAAAGCTGGATTTCCTAAGCAGGTATCAATTTTGCTTCATCCGGATTCCACACCATACATTAATTTAGAGATTACATACAGATAAAAGCCAGTTCGAAGCCAGTTCTGCTACTCACAAGGCTCGTACACTTTCCAACAACTGTTTAAATCAGTGAGAAGGCAGCTCTGCTTCCGATGGCCCTACCTTGGGTGGCTCAAGCAGGAGTTCATGAAAAGATCCAAGTCTTCCTCGGATGGCTTCTAGAACGCTCTTGTTGACCGAACAAGCTGAATGACTCATGCCTGGTGGGCAGATCTCTATATGGCCTTCAAATCTTGAAATAAAGCAAGTTCATTTTTACTTATTACAACTTCAAAACAAATCACTCACGGTGCTCTATCTCAGCATGTAGATATATACACCACAGCTATATAAACGTATAATGATTAAATCCGCATTTCTGGAGGGACGTTTCTTAGGCAGGTGTAATAAAAACCCGACAGGGGTCAGCCAACATGACCTGAACCCCAAAGGCCCACAGTGTCAAGCAAGAAATCATGTGTGATTTCTTCCTGTTCACTTAGACCTGTTTTCCAGGGCCCCCCTCACGGCCTGCCACCTGAAATGTTAGCAACGAACGAGCCTGCGCTTGTTCCAGTTTTTCTTGGGTAATCGACGGTGTTTCCTGTTTAAAAGGCTTCAGTTACTTCTCTACATTAAGCCCGATCTACGCTCATCATCACCCACTCCTTTCTGGAAGTTACGAGTGGAACAGGACTCCCACATCTCAACTGGTGTGAGCGCACGGCACAGGGTCTCACAGTGGGGGAGCACAGAGCCCAGCAGGTAAGAAGGACATGGGGGGGCGGTCTAAAAACATGGGCGAGCAATTCGAATGAAAATATCTTCCTGAAAGCGGTGTGCCGACTGAACATCGGTGCCAACTGGTGGTTAACGCTGTCACTGGCGGAGCCAGGCGGCCCGGACCCAACTTCTGGCTCTTCACTTACCCGTTATTTGTTCTAACGTGGAAAGTGGGGCTCGCCCTAGAACGCCTCTCTCAGACTGCTGTGAAGATCACGCTGAGGCAGACGAAGGGCTGAGAACACTGCCTGGCACGCAGCTAATGCCTAGAGAGTGACTGCTGACTATTACCTGAAAATACTCCTCCCGTGTCAATGAGTCCTGGCTCTAAGAGCCACGTGGAACAGCGCTCGGAAACTCAACCGCTGGACGGGGGAGGGGAGAGGCCGTTTGCTGTAATTCCAGTGTTTTTTTTAACATGTAGGGGTTTTAATCGTGTAGCCAGATACAACATTCCTCATCACAGTTTCTGTCTAGGGAGTCAGGCTTAAAAGTTCTCCACGATCCCATAATTCTGTATTTACATACTTTTCCTCCAGTACCTTAAATTTGATTCATCTAGAATTTATTTTTATGTAAAACAGGTATAGCATTTTCCTAAAAATAAGTCACTTTCTAAGCCATTTAATAATCACCTTTCCCCACTTATGTGAAAAACCATACCAAACCACATATTGAAATTCCTTAATTATTCATATAAACTTGGTATCACAAATACTAGTATCATGCAGCCATATTTATCAGTAACGCACTGTAATATGCAGGAGGCAATTTATCTCAATCACTGGTCTTGCTCCAAATTTCTTGGCTAGTCCCGCCTTTTCTCCTTCTAAATATATTTAAGAATTCACTGAATCCCAAACAAAAACCATATTGGTATTCCAGAGAGCTTTATTAAATTTAGAACTTGGACGAGGAAAGGCAGAGAAGTGCTGGATGTCTGTCAGCAGTCTGTTCTTTTCTGCTGAACAGCCATCTACTGTGCAGATGGATGTGCCACAGCTTCCTCATCCATTCATCAGTTTAAGGACACTTCGCTTGTTTACAGTTTGGGGTAACTACAAATAAAGGTGCCATCATTCACTTACAGGTCTCTGAGTGAGTTTTTATTTCACTTGGGTAAACATCTAAGAGATTGCTGAATAATACAATAAATGTCTGTTTCACTTTCTAAGAAACTGCCAGATGTTTCTGGAAAGTGGCTGTGACACTGCATTCCCAACAACGACGTGTGAGACTTGCAGTTACCCCCTAATGTCACCAGTGCTGGGTATTGTCTGCGTTGTTTTGGTTTATTCGGCGGGCTGAATGGTGGCTCCCCGACAGGTACGTGCACACCCTAACCCCCAGAGCCTACGACTGTTACCTCATTTGAAGATGCAATTAAGGATCTTGAGATGAGGATCCTTAGGGTTATCCAGGTAATCCTAAATGTTACTGTAAGTGTCCCTGTACGAGAGAGACAGACACACAGCAGAGAAGGCAATGTGAGGATGAAGCACAAAGAGGGGGCCACAAGCCATGGAATCCCCTACGGTCCCTAGAAGCTGGAAGAGGCAAAGGACGCGTCCTCCCTGGAGTCTCTGGAGGGAGTGCAGCAAGGCTGACATCCTGATCTTGGACTTCTGGAATTCAGACTGGGAGAGAATAAATTTCTGTCATTTTAAGCCAAGTTTGTGGTCAGTTGTTACGGAAACAAATATAAGTTGTTCAAAAGGTACACACTGCTATCTATGTGGTTTTAACTTGAATTTCACCAACAATGAGTGATGTTGGCCATCTTTTCTTGTATTTACTCGTTATGTACATAATTGTCTGCTCAAATCTTTTGACCTTCTAAAAAACTGAATTATTTTTCGCCATTAAGTTTTGAGTGTTCGTTATATTTGGATACAAGTCCTTTCTCAGATGTGATTTGCAAATACTTTGCAGCAGTCTGTGGCTTGCCTTCTCATTTTAATAAAATCTTTCAAAGAGCAGAATTTAAAATTTTAACAGAGTCTGAGTTGTCAATTTTTCTTTTATGGATTGGGCTTTGGTGATTCATCTAAGAAATTTCTGCCTGAGCCTGGGTCACAGATTTTTCTCCTAGAACTTTTAGAGTTTTGGGATTTACAGTTCTAGTTCCATTTCTTTTCTTTTCTTCCTTTTTTTTTTTGAGTCAAACCTAAGAGGCAGAATATTTCCATTTCAAGGTAATTTTTATACACTGTGCAAGGTACATATGGAGGTCCCAGCACCACTTGTTGAAGGGGCAACCCTTCCACATCTTCTCCACTGATCTCCTCCACACCGCTGTCAGGAGCCAGCTGACCAAGCCTGTGTGGGTCGGGTCTGCTTCTGGCCTCTGTCCTGTTCCAGGGAGCTACGTCCTCTCACTGGGACCAACTGTCCTGATGATGGGACCTTTAAATGTGCATCAGTACTTGGATTTTGACAGTCTCTTTCAAAATTGTTTTAGCTATTGTATTTGCCTTGAATTTCCATGTAAGTTTTAGAACTGGCTTGGATTTTAATTGGAATTATACTGAATCTCCAGATCGGTGTGGGAAGAACTGACAACTCAACAATACCAAGTCTTCTAATGCGTGAACAGTCTCTCTCTCCATTTAGGTCACCTCTGATTTCATCACTACTCCACGGCTTTCAGCATTAAACCCTGCACGTGTTCTGTCTATTTATATCTAAGTATTTCCTTTATTCTGTGCAATCCAGCAACTGTGCTCCTTGGTATTTACCTAAAGGATCTGAAAATGGGAAGTACTTTTAAAGTAAGTGATGCTTTATGAAAATTTTAAATTCTAACTGTTTGGTACCAGTATAGAGAAATGCAACTAATTTTTGAATACTGACCTTATAACTTGCAACCCTGCCAGAATTACTTGTTAGCTGTAGGAGTTTTGTGTGTGGTCTTTAGGGTTTTCTACAATGCTGATCCTGATGTCTGTGAACTGGGCATTATAGTTCCTTTTCTGGCCTGACAGCTCTTCTTCTCTGCCTTATGGCATTGGCCGGGGCCTCCAGCAAGAGGCGGAATAGGGCTGGTGATGGCAAATATCCTCGCCATGCTCCTGGATTTTAGGGGATGTTATTTCAGTCTCTGACCATTAAAAATAATGCCAGCTATGAGTTGTTTTATTGTTAAAAAGCATTTTATCAGTTTCCAAGTTCCTTTCTATTACTAATTTGCTGAGAGGTTTTAACATAAAAGATTAAATGAAGTAACCATGTTTTCTTTTTCTTTAGTCTGTTGATATGAGTTATACTGATTGACTTTTGTTACGACTTGTTTTTACGGCAGTTTTAAGTTCGCAGCAGAATGGAGGGGGAAGTACAGAGGCTGCTGATGTCCCCGCTGCCCCTACACATGCACGGTCCTCCCGTTATCGACAACCCCCTCTCCGAGTGGTTCATTTGTTATAATCCATGAACCTCCACTGACACATCATAATCACCCCAAGTTTACAGCCTGCATTTTGACTAACTCTTGCTGTCGTACATTCTATGGGTTTGGACAAACGTATAAAGACACGCATCCATTGTTAAAGACTCGCGCAGAGTAGTCTCACTGCCCTGAGAGTCCTTTCTCTGCCTATTCGCCTCTCCCCATCCTGCCAACGACTGGCCTTTTTTGTGTCTCCATAGTTGGCCCTTTTCCAGAAGGTCACTGAATTGGAATCACACAGTATGCAAGCCCTTTCAGGCTGGCTTCTTCCCCTCAGCACCATGCATTTAAGCTTCCTCCATGGCGTCTCGTAGCATCAGAGCTCATTCTTTTCAGCACTGAGTAATATTCCATTCCTGGATGTCCCGCAGTTTCTTTATCACCTACTGAAGGACGTCTTGGTTGTTTCCAAGTTTTGGCAATATGGAGAAAGCTGCTATCAACATCCGTGTGTGGGTTTTTGTGTGGACAGTTTTCAACTCCTTTGGGTAAACATCAAGGAGCATGACTGCTGAGCTGCGCACTAAGAATACGTTTAGTTCCGTAAGACGCTGCCAGACGGTCTCCCACAGGGGCTTTTTATCATTTCGCGTTCCCACCACAATGGCTGAGAGGTCCTGTTGCTCCGCATCCTCACCAGCATTTGGTGGTGTCAGTGTCCTGGATTTTGGCCATTCTTACTGATTTCTGAAGGGTGAATGAGCCTTGCATTCCCAAGATAAACCATACTAAGTCATGCCAAATCATTTTCTGAATAGGTTGCCAGATTTGATTTGATATCTTCTTGTGAAACTTCAGCGTTCTTTCCTATAACATTCTTGTCTAGTTTCAAAGTAATACTGGCCTCATAAAATGAACTAGAGAGTGTTCTCTCCTCTGTATTCTGGTAGAGTCCTTCCGTGTTTCGTAGGATGCATCGATGAAACTATAGTGAGCTGAGAGTTTTGTTGGAAGGTTTTAAATATGAATTCAATTTCCTCAATAGATATAGGGCTGTTAATGTTATCGATTTCTTTTTGAGTGAG